AGAAGCAAAAGTTAATTTACTTTTTTTCTGTTCGGTGAATTATTACATTCCTTGAGGTTAACAAGAAACAATTAGACGTTAATTAATCAACTAACCCAATGTGACATTTCAATCCAACACTAATTAACCAAAACTTTACATGAAAAAGGTGGACAAGTGATGGACAATGGATAACAAAATAACCATTTCAATGTTGATATCTAAATATGGATTTATGTGAAACATTTTCATGAGATTATTGTTCATCTTTAACCAACAATCAATGAAACCAGCAATTATCATTGAATAGATTGAAATGTGAAAGAAAGAATCCGATGAAATGGAAAAACAAAAAGCTTAAACAAACAACTTTGGGTGTAAAATTGAAGGTAAAGCCATCAGGTAACAAATTCATTGTGAATACTGGTTACAGGGTAAAATTGTACTCCACCCTGTTAGCCTTAAATTTTGCATTTTACTTGAGTCTGCATCTTGACTCCTAACGAAAACCATCCAACCCCCTTTAATACCATTTTGCTTTCTCGTAGTTACCTGTTCAATGAAAGCCAGCCTCTCAAATAAAAACAGGCAATTACTGTTGGCAGCAGGTAAAAACGTTAAAGTGCGCGTTAACAAAATACATTTACATGGTGCAACAATTTACGCTCTTTTTTTATACCTTTACATGTTGAGAGTGAAGGTTGAAACCATGAATAAGTAGACACAATGAAAGGTAGAGTACATCTATTATAATAATAGCATAATAATAGGTAACATTTATTGGTGCAAATTATTTCTTTAACGCCTGTTGTGTTACCCAATCTTGTATTCACCACCAATATATTCATATTCAACACTATTATTAAACATAATAATAAAAAGGCCGAGAGTGAATCAATGTATGCATTGCATGTAAATAGCAGGGTAACTCTGATTATTCACAAAAAAAACCGTGAATCTGTTAAATTTTGTTTTTCTCCTCACTAATAACGCATCAAACTAATCGTTTGGGTTCATTATTCAATCTTCATTTTTCCTCTTTTTCTCAATCTTTTCTAATTGAATACTTGTTTCTCATTTAATTATAGCCTTGCCAAATAGTTTCAACGCTTATTAATAAATATGGATTAATTAGGTGAACTTGAGATTGGCAAGAATGGTTCCGATATGAGGAGGAAGACGAGGCTGGAGGAAAAGGAGAGTCTAAAGAGGAGGGAAATGATAGTTTCAAAGTGGTGTGGCTTCAACCCGCTTTCATCTACACCTTTATACCTGTAAAGAAACGATTTAGCTTCATACTCTTAGCCGTTATGATGAATTGATGGGAACACTTTCAATACCAGTGTGCATACATTATCTTGTCATCTTGTTTCAATCTTTACATTGGCTTGAACTTTTTAATTTTACCCTGTCTCATCCAAGATTCATGTTTGTTTGCATTTGAAAGAAAATTTAATGGCTGGAGTAAAGGTTAAAGATGAGGGAAAATTGGTGGATCCATTTCGCTATGTTAATCTTTCAACTAACACCATCAACTGTTGGCTACAATTGAGCAAGGTGAAATAACATTGATGAATGTTGTATATATTGCTGATAGTGATCAACAATGAGGCTCGCCTGCTTACAATCAACTTTTCCATCAAAAGATAAACCTTGCTTCAGATGAAGTAGTCGGATCAGTGGTGGTCAATGTGAAGCCTCTTAAGCGAGTGTTAAAAAGATAACCTTTCCTTGGTGTTGGTATCATCAGTTGGATGAAATATCATAACAATAGACAAGAAGCCGTAATGGGAGGAAAGCGTTTATTCACACTTGAAGGGGAACACTTTTGCAAGAGAAAGAATGAAAAAAATGTGTTTTGTTTTTTCCAGATGATGATGATCATGATGATGATGATGATAATGGTTGAATTGAATGAAAAGGGCAAATGATGATTTAACCTGATATTAGATCGGAGTAAATAGACCGACATCATTGGTGTATAATGGATCCACAAGGATCGCACCTTTGTGTACAAGTTTACATGTTAGGTTAGGCTGATGCCAATTGCTCTTCATCTTATCATCCTTTTCCCCTTCTTCCTCTTTTTTAATCTAATTATTTTTTCTTCTTCTTCTTCTTCTTCTTCTTGTTACCTGCATCAATCAAGTAGGATTTTGGTTTCGTCTTTATCTTTTTAAATGATTGTTCCTGACAAGAGGATTACTTGGTTTATACTGTTTAAGCACTTTGTTTTCAAGCTCAAATAATCTCTTTAACCCTCACTCAGCATGACTCAATTGAATCAATATTTCCCGTTTGGTCCACTTTAAAGTCCATTTTTACCCGGGCTTAAGCTTCTCACCATTGGATTCCTCATCACCTAAACCATCAACATGTAACCAATGGTTAATCATGTGTCGATGGTTTCCAGTTGATGTAACCACTCACCAATCCTGTTACCATTGAAATTGGGAGACGAAATTCATCTTGGATTAACAAGGGCGAGAAAATGATTTTAAAAGATACAAAAGATTCAGGTAACCTTTTGTTTGCCTCAAGAAATAATCATGATCAATTATCTTTACAGATTAACCCTTTTCCAGTAAAATGTCAAATCCTTAAATTGGCAAGTTGATTGTTTTTGTTTAAACAATTAACCCAAATTTGAAAGTAAATTCAATTGTAAAAGTATAAAACACATTAAATAATGAAATGAAAGGCTATGAAAAGACTTGATAAATGGCGAATGATTTGCTCTTGTTTTGATCCATTTTTTATAATTAAAAGCTTAAATCGGATTAGTATAAAGTCAAAGGGAAGTCCACTTAATCCCAATGGATTGTGCCTAATCTAATAAATATACTTCTAATAGCCATTAAGCTGCATCATTAACAATCAACTAATATACCAACAAGCTAACCATTAACCAGTAAATCCATACTCGTCACTATTATGATGATTATAATGGCAAGTTAAAATGAACCAGAAAAAAAGTCGCAACCGTTCACCATTGACACCAACTATTAGAGTTGGATTAATGTCACCTTTAATAAATTACAATTGCGTTAAAATAAATTGGAAAGGGCGATCATTTCAATGTGAGTTGGGTTCTTCACCCACTTTTGACGTGAATTAAATTACATTGGGTTAACATGCATTTAATGGGAAACGAAATGATTGGGCCAATTTAAATCACCAATCGCTATACAAATCACAAATTAAATCACGTCAAGGTGATAAGAACATGATCCAGCCTTGATTGCCTTCTTCTGGATACCATTGGTGACAGTAAATCAGAAAGGGCGAAAAGTTCATGGAGAAAGCGATGAAGAAGGTGAGAAATGGAGAAGCAAGGAAAATGGTGAAAGATTGTTTTAGTAGGTTGAAACAACAATCAAGTAAATTAATTGCATTAAACTTAATCTGTTAGGTGCAAGGTTAATTGCAAAGTTACCTGGATGACTGTCGATACTCAATAGCCGAGTGTTTACACAATCAAGAGGTTAATTGGGAAAACTGTGAAAGTTAATTAGCAGATGAATAAAAGGTTGGGCAGAGGAAACTCAACTGTTTGTTATCTTTTCAACATCTTCCACTTGTTGACCATCTCTTAACCACTATTTTCAATTTAAAGTGATCACATAAATCAATGGACATTTTGTTTTCAATACCTTTCCATTCAAGTTAAATGGTTAACTTACAGTGGGCTTACATGATAATGGAAGAAGATGCTTTACAAATTTTCACCATTAATACATCAACAATTACTCAAGATTCAATTTAAAGATTTGCTCATTTTTCTTCTTCTTCTTCTTCTTCTTCTTTTCCCTTCTTCAGGTTGATTCATTTGAAACGGAACCCATTCAGGATAAGGACTTGATCACGATTCAAATTTTCAATGTTTCCCTTATTTACAAACTGCTACTTTACCGGTTACCAATCAACACACATTCACTGTTTATACTTTTCAATTGGACTACTTGAGGTTTCCTTGATAAACCAATATTGGTGAGTTTACTGGTTAACAATTAAGTCTATCATCAACCTCATAAGATGAAGATGAACATTTCTGATTAACTCTGGACGTCTTAACAAGCTATTAGTTTTGTCTTATCATTTCAGGGAAATTTCTTAACCACAAATGATATCATCTTCATCATTATCAGGCAACTTTTCAAGTTGAGATTGAGATCGATAAAAATGGCGTCAATTTCAAGATTAGGATGCTGATGGTTCCAATGAACGCACCCATTAATTCACCCAAAGTCAAAGGAAAAGACTCGGATTATAATGAAAGCAAGGTAAAAGCAAAGGTGGGTCTTGGGGAGAAGAAGAAGAAGAAGAAGACAAGAATGATGAAAAGAAGATGAAGATGGGAAAGATGAAGGAAAGGGGAATGGCAATTGATCAAAAAATACAATTTAGTTAAATTGACGATTGAACTGATGAATCTGCTTGTGAGACTGATTGGTTTTACCAAAGATTATGATGAGCGATTGAAGATTGAAAAGTGAATCGCCAAGTGAAGTAAAGAAGATGATGAAAAACCTTTTCTTTTACTCGTTCATCTTGTTCATCTTTGCCTCTCTCTCTCTTACCTGAGCCTTCATCAACCTGGTAACTTGCTCTTCACAAGTCACTTTCAATAAATCATTCATCTTTCATTTCGTTATCCAAGGTTATCCCAGTTAATCTAAGGTTTTGTCTCTAAATGAATTTTCTCATTGAAAACATCTTCTCTATCATCTTTATCGTCATCTTCATCTTCCTCTTCCATTCGTGTGTCTTGACCATTTCTTACTGACTTACCCTCAGTACATGGTGTGTGTGTCTTACAAATGTCATCAAACGGTTTCTCAGTCAATTCTCGGTTCATATTAACTCAAACTAATTACCTTTAATCACGTAATGATAAAGATAATTTTATTTTCAGGAGAAACTGAAAGACAGAGAAACATGATTAACCATTGATTTCATATTAAAATATATATTAATATCTTCATGTTGACCAATCATATGATACATGAAGACCTCCCTAGTTGACCTTTTGATGTAAGCAAATTGTTTAATGTTTAAACTGATTAAGATAATTGAAAAATGATAAAAATGGTTAATATTAACAGGTTAATAAAAGGCTGAAGACAGCAAAATTGTCAAATGTCGATTAAACAGGGTTTGGTTAACAGATTAAATGATAATCAATTAATTGGTTCCAGTTAAGAGCCACAACCATGAAAATATAATATAGTTGTCACTTGATTACGATTCATTTATCAAACATTTGTAATTAAAATAATAATTCAAATAGTAATTCAATTTGCTGTAGATTTGACAGTATCTCGAGTAAATGATCAACATTGACAAAATCAAATGGCAATCTTGGATTGGAAAGCAATCAATTGAAACAAGTATAATGATACCAATCAGGTTAAGACTTTGAGACTGATTCATGGGTTGGTTTTTGCCTGGTTTGCTGATGAAATCATTGGTATCGATATTTGTTCATCGGGTCGAAGTAGACTTTTATATTCCAAAAATACGAGAACTTCAAGTGCGATTATTGCCAAGCCATAACTATCAATGATCAATATTTGCATTGGACAATAGCTTTTAGTTTTGACGACTGGAAAACAAAATACAAAATTGAGTTATTTAGATACAAAGGACTTGAAGGATGAAACATTACCTGTTATCATGGTTAAGAAGGTGACAATAATGAGACCAATCAGGGAAAGACCGTTAATTACAAGGTATACAAGACATAGTTGGGAACTTTCAAGCTTGGATAATTTAAGAACTGGCAAGGCAAACAATTGAAATAAATTGGTAAACCCAATGAGCACCAAATAACTGTCGACATTTGTTTTGACGATTTTGAAGAGAGCAGCAAACATGAATATTGTATATATTGTAGTTACACCTGAAACTAAAGGAATCAACCTGTTGATCCAACCTTTACGAGTGAGAAAAAACCATTCCGATCCTTTATCAAGCAACTCCTTTGCTTTAGACTTTCTTTTGGTCATTATGAGTTTGCTAATTTATAGCAGTTAACAATTAACACAACACTTTAATATACAATTTATATGTTAATAGTTCAATTAACTAACAATAAGAAGATGTTATAAAATCCCAAATTTTCATCCCAATCCCAAAATCCCAAATCCCAAATTATCATTTTAAACCAAAATGATTGCTGTGAGTGAGAATGGATCAATTTGTTGCTTCAGTAATCTATGAAACTGTCATGAAAAAGTTTACCTTGATTAATGGTTTGAAAATTCGTATATTCTTGAGTAAAAAGTGATTCCTCTGTAAGAAAAAGACAAATTTTCAAGATTCTTAAAGCTGATCAAAGTTCCTCATTTATTTCAATTCTGAATTTCGATGATATCAAAGTTTCATTTTGATCTTCATCTTAAGAGATTCACCCTCAAGTGTTGTCAACACATACTTAGTTGTTCACAAATCTTGATCAATTCAATATACAACTAAATCAATAATGAATGATGTTGATGATTGCGATTGCGATTAAGCCAAAAAAATATACTTTATTGATTATTAGAATTAAAAGTCAATGAAAATGTGGGTAAAATCATATTTGGGTGAATCTCATGTAACCAGATGAAAGCTTTTACATGTTAAATTGAACCTTACCATGAAATAATGAACAGAGGAAAAGCGCAAAAGGTTTAATGAAAACCAGTGAATGGTACTTTTTAAAAAGATTAACATTAGATTAACGTTGATTATGAATTAAATGTTTTAACCATCATAATAAATCGTTGTGTTTAAGATGCGATAAAACAGATTAAGAAGAAGAGCAAGAAATGATTAATAATTGTTGATAGTTGAGTTTGCTTAGGCCTGAGTTGTAAAGAGGATTGCGTTATGTTAAATATATATTAATGGATCGACATCAGTTAATGCAGGTAAACATTTTTTTTGGGTAAACGATTGGAAATGACCTTAAAGAGGAATCATGATGATTGTATCCGATAATGTATATTTATGTGTGTTTATAATGTGTATTAATAATGGCGATCAACATCATTAGTTTCATCATTAATATCATGAAATGGAAAGTTAAACTCTTAAAAGACACGAAATGGGTGCAAATTCACATGTAATAAATGCACATTTATTCAGCTCTCAATATCAAACAAATTAAGCAAAGTTTCAAATCCAAATAACCAACTTATTAGAATGATTTACACAATGGATCAACCAGATTCTGGTCTTTGATTCAAATCTAAAGTTATATCAATTAGCTCAACACTCGATGTCGAATGCAAATTGAGTCGTCGATTGAATAGTCAAATGATTTTTCGTGTTACTGAAAAGACTGAAGATTCATTGATTAAGGCCACCCTTGTGGATAATGATTACAGTTAGGCCTGAAGGGAAAGACAATGATTGGAGATATTTTCATTTGAATGACACTTAACCAATGATAAATAATAATGATGATGATTAGATGGCGGAGAGGATAAAATGTATCAACTAATTTGTGGCCTGATGCCGGAAAGAATTGGCCTCAACTAAGGTGGCCTTTGGATGCAATTGGACTTTAGGTGCTTTTGTTACTGTTTTTACCATTTTATGTACAATCATTGGAATGATTATGATGATTAAAACGGAGCAATAAGAGAGTTGAATACAAAAGTTATTTGCAATGATCAGTGTAAAAGGCAATCAATTAGGGGCCATTTAGTTTTGTTGAAATGATGATGATGTTGAAGAGATTGATGAAAATAATGGAGAAGATGTTTAAAGAAATTGAAAACTGTTGTTGTAAAGGGTGCTTTAGATGAACCCTTGGGTTTAATGTGAGGTTCACTCAGGAGTGGATCAACAAATGATCAACAACTTGATGACAGAGATGATGATGAAGAAGAAATGCATTTTTAAAGTTAAAAAAATGGATGATATATCGATGGTTAAAGGTTAACAAAAAAATGAACCAATTTTTAGTGGAAAAAACAAAACCATCAACTCTAAGTATATCTAATTTATCAGTAAATCAAAGGAAAATATTTATTATTGGAATGAAGATGGAAGAGGATGAAACAGGGAAGATGATGATCACAAAATGAGTAGATGAAATGATGACTACAAAAAATGTATTATACTGGGTGAAACCCTCCAGTCAAGGTGATCAATTCAGTTTACAATGTTAAACATGTTGCTATTAAGGGCTTGACATTGTATTTATCAATAATTTGAGCTTCTGATTTGTGTGTTTGAGCCCAATAGCAATACAATTAACTTAATTGGCTGAATAATTGATCTCTCTTCTTACTCTTTCTCTCTGTGTTTTAAATTAAAAGGGAAGGTAAAGTTAATCAGAAGCTTCAGCTTTTTTTACCTTTTCTAGTTTTTACCATTACAAGAAGAAGCAAACATTTATTACATTTAATCATTGATACTAGCTGACAATTAAGGCCTTTAATAATAATGATGATAGCCAAGCAATAGTAATAACTAACAGTTTCCTTAATAACTGTTGAGTGACACATATACAAGGGTGTATCATTAAATATTTCAACAGATTACTTCAATCTAATCATCATTTTCAACATGCTTTTCCCTCCTTGTTACGCCTTCCCGATTTTTACTTTTAATACACAGATATTATATTGTACAATTGATACAATTTACAATAAACACAAATCACATTTTCCATTAATCTAGTTATCTTTATTTCACTTTACAGATTTTGTGTAACAATAAGAGGTTGGCTTTAATTTTGGCGCTTCCCCATTATATAACACATGACTCGTAACTTGGTTACAATGTAACAACCTGATAACAGCGTTGACTTGATTCGTATGGAAACAAGTGATTTCAATGGATTTGAATTGTAATTGAATAAGACTGACCGTGTTTAAAGTGTCCCAATGATACCCACGCTGATCGCCAACGCATTTGTGCCAATACTCAAGGTAAGTAAAAATGAAACTGCAATTTCTCTAACCATTGGTTCTGTTGTTTTTTTTGTTATTTTTTCAGACTGATTATAATGAGGATGGTGAGAAATGATGATCAATCCTTCTCTCAGATGCAGAGTGATATATTAAATGGAAAGTGAAACAACAACAGTTTTTCATCCACGCATTGGATGAAAACCAACTGAAGACGTTTAAGCACCCACGATTGGTTGTGATCAACAGAACCTCAGGATGACCCTACCTCAGGGTCTTTTTACCCTCAAACCACTCCACCACCACCACCACCATCATTATCATCAGAACTTTTAACTCTATATTCAATTCTCCATCAGAATAAGTAAAGTAATCTTGCCTATTTGATACTATAACTTGATGTTACTTGTGCGAATGAAGCTCAAGATTATGTTGAAAGAGACTAAATCACTAATTGCTTTACCAATAATTAAGATTCAATGACTATCCATTCGATTAATCAACCATTCTTTAACCATTTAACCTAAATCATTAATATAGTGTAACATGAAAATCAAAAGGCTGATTGGCTTTCGCATTCAAACAAGATGAAGGTGGTGATAGATTCAACTATTTTCATAACATTTTGCGAATTGGATTAAACAAAATCAACAAACCTGACGAAATTTAAATGATTGATTAGATGCAGATACTTAATTTACCTAGAAGTAAGTAAACTAACAAACTAAATCAATTACTGGATCAGCAAAAATGTTATATTAAGATCAATTTATACCTTAAAGGTCTCATCACAATGCCCTGAGTTGCATTTTAACCCTATTAATGCAAACTTGTTATTGTTATCTACAATTTAGCATTTTAACAAAGTCCATTCTTTGATTTTTCAGGCTTAATTATCATGTAACTAATTTTAATTATTTTGCTTTGATAAGTTAATAAGAAAGGTGTTAAGGATGTTTTGTTTTAGCAACAAAAAAAGGTTTGTATTTACCAAAAAATGTTTTGGTTTTGTTGTAAATTATAACCCATTATTATTAATCAATTGAGCTTACTTTCATTTAACAGTTTTCCCTGTGGTAATTAAATAGTTAATCATTAACTTGCCAATTGCAGTTGACAATAAAACCAGTTATGATGGTAAAACCAGTTCAACGTTAAACCTCAACCTTAGACCTCAACAAAAAGTCAAAGCCAAGCAACATTTTCTGGTAAAAAGATGACAATTATCAACTTTACATGAAACTGATTATAATTGTTCAATGATTAATAAATGACAAGTAATCATTATCAGAAACAGGTTTAACAACAATTTGTTGATGAAATTAGTAAGCAAAGTAAGTTATTAATAATCAACACACCTTGTTCGAGACTTATTTTTATGAGTAAAATTAGCAATTTCATTTAGTATTTAGTATTTATAATTTATAATTTATTTCAATTTAGTAAATCAGTTGTAATATAACTAATTATGCAAAAATTAACAGAAAAAATTCTAGTTAACTAACCGACACTTTATTCTTTATTCATTTCTAGGGTAAAAAGACTATAAAATGGACTTGGATTCAGTTTATTTGCATCGATTATTGGTAATTAAATTGTTTTTATGGTTCCATTTGGATTTATTGGGAATAATAATGAACCAGATAATCTTGAAATTTATTGTGATAAATTCAATGTCAATGAATGCTGATTAAATGGAGAGAATAGGTTCAATTCCAGTTTCAAATGTTGAGCCAATGAAATTGCCAATGGAATTATCTTGATGAAATTTGTCAAAATTGGATTCAACAATCGGCTAATTAACGTTGAAATGGTCAAAATCAATTGATTCCCAAACTGCTACAAGCAAGATGTTTACAAAGTTGATTAATAGCAATTGGATTGTCAATAAATCGTGATTTGAAATTTAAGCTGTTAAACATTTAAAGATGACACACAATAGGATCTCCCAGACAATTAACTGATGTGTTTATAATTAATGAAGGACAATTAGCTGTTAAAATGAGCAATAAATATTTCAAGAGGGAGATGGACAACAACAAGATGAACAACAATTTAACCAGTAGCTGGAATCATTGAAAGCGCTTTGTTAATTGTGAAGGAATGGTTACTGTTGAAAGTGAGAATCACGAAAAAGCAATTACAATGTAATCATGATTATTAGATGATCACTAAAGATACCCAATTTGACAAGGAGCAACAATGATGCCAATGATTAGTAAAATGATGATACGGACGATGGGGAGAGATGAAAGGAAAGAGTAACAAGAAGGTTAAATAAGCCATGTTCAACAAGTGTTGATGTAATATTGAGAAGGCGATGAAAACGTGAATCATGTATCGTGACTGAGAGAGATTCTGATCACTATCAACAGAATCATTATCATTAACATCAACAGCAACCATCAACAGTTATCAACATGATACAGCGAGACAATTAATATAAACAACAGTTGACAATTGAAGATTCACTGGACTTGGAGACTCAACATTTTCACTCATTAAAATCATCAATTATCAATTGAATTAATCTATAAATGATAAACTATTGCTTTTATTAAGGTAAACATTCAACCAATCATTTCAAGTGTTTCCATCCATAGCTTCGGGTAACATTCACATCATGTTAAGGTGAACCGTTTATATGATGAAAAGTATAGTTCGGATCACAATTGAAGTTAATAAATTTAACTGGAATTATCATAATAATATTAATTGAAGGTGCTCACAATCTTCATCCTAAGGTCCTCTTTACAGGTAAAAAACATGAATATTTGTATAAAAATGATAATCATTTCTTTTTTTTTCTTGTGATTCTTGTAATGCAAAAGCTATTAATATGATTGATTATCTTGTCTTGCCAGTCTCTTAAGCCAATGGTTGTCAAAATGTTACAGTTAAAGTTAATAAAAATATTGGTAATAATAATCATCAGGATAATAATTATAATAAATGATTAAGATTAAATGAAGTAAATGAAAACCTTTTGATTAGAGACCCATTATTATCAACATTAGTATTATGATTACAGTTTTTGATTCATTTCTTAACCTTTCCCGGTTAATTGGTTTTTCCTGCATTTGGTGCTGTTGACACTCAACCTGATCTTTTTCTTGCCATATAAATGATCATTTTAGTTGCTAGTTGATCAGGTGTGGTTAGTTTTAATTTCATTGAAGAATTAATAATTAATTTAGAAAAAAAAGAGAGAAACGAGATTCTCAGTTAATTGTAAATTATCACAATTTAAAGCCACAATTTTGTTGCCATTAATATTTATGATTACTTAAGCATACACATTTGTCCCTGTCAATGTTCACATTTAGCAATTGTTTCATTCAACAATTTATTTCTCATTAGTAATTTTAAATTATCCACTTTAAGATTTACTAATTACCACTTGATTGATATCAGACATTTGCAGGTAAAAACGAGTCAAAAGAGCCACCAAAATGACCATTCAACTCAAACGATTGGCCGATTGGTAAAAAGAGTAGACCTTTTGATTTTTTAATTTCAGTTTATATCCAATGTCCATTGTAAATTGTCAAGTGTGCTCATTCAGGTTTATTTGGTTATTTTTATCCAGTTTTACTTGGTTTTGTTTCCTCTGGTGCTATAGTGTCAAAACGGGAATCTATTAATCATTGGACTGGATTTGTCACTGAGTCCAATTATTTGGATGATAAAGTGTTCTGTATCAATTTGTGGTTTCATTTTGGCTTGTAAATGATCCAGCTAATTATATATTGTCACAATCACGGTTGATCGGAAAATCATTGACATCGTCTCTCCGCTGGCAAGTCAAGTGAATCCAACCATACAAGTCATTAGGCTGAGTCAACAAGAGGATAACAATGACTATAATCAAATAATTGAATGATTGTTGCCTAGAATGGAAAAAAATTATCAACACAAACTTAATTTTCATAATTCAAGCTCAAAAATCCAAAGAAATTTTCCATTTTTTCAAGTTCAATTCTCGTAAGCTTATGGTTCCTGAGTCTGTAGACTAACCGTTCGAGGTTGATCTTAACAGGCGTGAAATGAAAAGAAACACCCGAATCTGTTGTTTACCATATTGATATTGAATCAATTGAATGGCCATTTATCATTTTAAAGTCAAAGGTATTAAAAATAAGAATAACAAAATGAAAAGTTGAAGAGTAGGAAGATGAAGATGAAAATGAAAACAACATGATAATCATAATAAGGTGGGTTGTTGGTGGAGTTAATTGAATCATACAATTGAAATGTGATCATTGGAATAAGAATAAAGATGAAAAAATTGTGAAGATAAAGATGATGGAGGAAGAAAAACAAAGGAAAAAGTAGGCCTGCCAAGGTAGTGTTTAACACTAATAAACATATGATTTTCTGTTGCCTGTATTGGATGGCCAGTTGATCCAAAAGGCTAACCAAACCTTTATTAAAGTGGCCAGAACTGATGGTAAAGATGATCACTTTGATGATGAGGATGATCAACATTATGATTACCAAGGAAATAATAAAATAATAAGATGATTAAAACCTACCGCAAAGATAGTGAATGATTGTAGCCACACACAAAAGCAAAGGCAAAAATACAGTGTCTACTCAATTAGATTACAATTAACCCATAACATTAGTTTTAATCATTTTTTGATTACTTTGGGTCATCTCATTGGGTTCATGGTTATGGTCACTCAATTAAAACCATTTACTAATAACAATTTTAAAAAAGCAATGATTATCATTATCAAGTTGAGGGAGTGATCCCCTGTTGGTCTGAATAATTGTGAACCGATGCCTTTTAATTTACAAGGAGTGTTACCTCTTCATCCTCATCATCATAATCATCAACCTCGCTAACCACAGTTAATGCTATTACATCCGTTTGAACATACCTTACATTGAACATCAACGATGAAAAAAAGTAAGTTAAACGTTCTAATCAAGGTAAATTACAATTTCTCGCATTTTGATTAGAGTCATGTAATTGCTTACTCACTTGCCTTGTTAATTGAAAAATAGAAAGGTTAATCAATTAAAGTGCATTTTTCTATTGAAACTAATCTTTTCAGTTAACCTCTGGTCAATATTGTGAGTTCTTAGATTGGACTTGAGGTTGAATGATTTAATTGCTGAGGTTGACATCAATTGACAATTTATAGTTTTTAATAGTTCTGTGATGGTTTCATAAAACATGAGTTTTCATAGTTTTCAGAGTCAGCTTGGTAAAGATGCTTCTCGATGATTAGACGATCTGGAAACATAAAATGCCAATTTAGATGGTTTACATTGGCACTAAATTTTGATTGATTAACCATTTGAGGGGACGTTTTTAATGTGCGATTCTGTATTCAGATAAGTTGACTTTTCAGTTTCATTGTAACTCAACTTGCCAAAAGACTTTCCAGAGACTGAATAAAAAAACAAGAAAAGCAAGATTAATAAAACAAGCAATTATGATTGAGTTGATTGATTGTTCAATTGAAAAGAAATGATGAAAAAAAGAAACTTTTAGTTGATTCTTTTACACTCAAGCCTTGGTTGGTGTTATAAAAAAACTTGTTAAAAGCGCTACAACTGATTATGAAAATAAGCCAAGAATTATAATCAAATTAGATTATTCAAGTGATTAAGGAATCGTCTGGAATCGACAAGTTTAAATTGATAAAAATAATAATAGTATTGGGTTCTTATGAGGCACCAAACAGTGAAATGCAAAATGAAAACAGTAAAGCTAGTTAGTTGAGCAAAGAGATATCATGTTGAGAAATGAAATTTGACATTCAGCAAGTGTATCACACCCTGATCATCTTCTCATCATAATCATCATCCTTTTCATCCCGCATCATCATTATCCTCGTCTTCATCCCATCATGCCACCATGTAAGTATCATTTTTAGTTGAGTTGAGCTCATCATCATTGTCAGTATAGTTGTGAGTCAAGTTGTGAGTTGACTTTTGAGTTGACTTTGAATGAATTTGTGTGTGTGAGTAAACCTGTTCAAGAAAAAAGTACAATAAAATATATTAATATAATTTGTAATCATTTCCACCCAAGGCGTGAGTCAAAAACTGGAAAAAACATTGAAATACATGAAGTGAAGAAACAAAAGTCACCGAGAGTCTAAAATGATTTCATTTTGGGCCATTTTCATCGACTATGTAAACAAACAAGGTCTTGCTGCGGGTTTGAGTGACAACCTCTCAGCGTGTCTCGCTTTTTCCCTGCTTCACCAGGTAATCTGTAGCTCGCCATGTTGATGATGATTCTTTGTAATATTGGGTGAGTTTAGCAACATGAGAAATAGTAGGTTGATGAATATTGTTGTTTTACAAGAGTAAGTTACAAGAGAAACTCCTAATTCCATGATAGATGGTTTCTAATAGATTAACTTAATCTATTATCATTCTCAAGTTTTGACTGTTTAAATCAATTTACAGAGTTAATCTCTTTTCTCCTATTCTCGTAATTTCATTTGGATAGACACATCTAAATGGAACCACCCTTAGCAAGATTAACATGGATTCACCAGAGATCAACCTAAGTCCATTATTAACCTGATTGACCATCTTTTCGCCTCTGGTTAACATTTGGATCTTTATTCATTTTTCAAACAACGACTCAAATCAATGTTAAACAAGCAACTTTGCTCAATTTGTTGAACCTTTTTACTGTTGATTTGTAAATTTGTTTTCCCTCAATTTGGATCGCAATTAGATTTGGATATTAATTTGGTTTCCCTTTTGTATGTTAACATCATTTTAACATTAATCAAGTTGTAACCAAACCATGAACAATTGTCGGCCTTTGAATTGTTCATTGTCTTGAACCTCTTAAAAGCTTCTGTTGAATCAATTGAGATTAAGGATTAACCATTAGAGCAACAGGAGTTACAATTAATCTTACAATATCTCATGACAAAATTGACTTCCAGAGCAACCTTTCAAAAAGTGTTACAAAATGACGTTTCCTTGGCCAAATCCAGTTTCAAGCCTTAAGGTCAAAGGATCAACTCTAAATCATTTAGATGAAATGAGTTGAATCAGTTTACTTCAATTTTTCAATAATAACTTGAAAAATAAATTGAAAAAAAGTTAAAATTGAAAGCGACAACCAAAATCGAAGCTTATTGAAGAAGAAGAAAAGTTGAGTTCGAAATCGATAGACAATCATGTGATGAAACAAATGAAGAGGAGGAAGATTATGCTGATCATGATGACGATGGTGATAATCTTGTGATATTGAACAGCTTTGTCTCTCTTTTTAAGTAGGTGTAAGAGTAGATGATAAAGATTAGGATGAAAAAAAGAGGTTATTCTTGAATGAAGTTGCTGATAGTTCATTCATAAAACTGGCCAGAATCCCACCCAATTTCAGCCCACATAACGTACGCTATCTGGTTAACGTATTTTACGCAAACAAGTAAAGCAAAGGTAACCAAAAGAGATAAACAAAACTTATGAATGAACTGTTTTCTTCATCTCTTTTTTTTACCTGCGAATTAACCTGTTTGCTGTTGATCATAAACTTCCTACTCTTTCAGTCTATCACTATGAGTCAGAATTATCTGATTATCTGTTGTGTTAAAAATGGCTTGCTTTAGACTGTCATTTGGAAAGCCATTAACAAGGGTTAAACTTAACTCTTGATTTACCTTGATACACGCGTCTGATGGTGATGATTAAAACTTGTTGATTAAATTGCCCAAAGCTGCTTTCATCTGACTTGTTTTACCCGAATGCTGGTGACTCAATTGGCCTCAATTGAAAGATTGCTTGTGTATTGGTAAATAATAATACTGCCAATTCATCAACATGATCAACTATCAATTATCATTTAATTAGATTCAAGATTGTATTTGAATGTTTCAATTGAATTGGAAATAATCATTCATAATTCATTCTTTATATTACAATGTTTAATGTACAAGCTATCAATGTATTTTATAG